CCCCCCCCTAATTGGACCCCAAGCTATCGATCAAGCCTACTTAGAACTTGATTCACTCGTTATCGAGATCTCAACATCTCGGGTACTCGCAACCCGTCGCGTCGCGTAAAAGAGTCACGGTCGGTCTCGCTCCGCGTGTACTTGGCGCGAGACACTACCGTGTCTCTTGATATACGAATAGTTTCGTGCCATTACAAAATATACATCGCCAGTGTTCAATTCCCTCTGCAGAGTATTGATTTTTTCCTCCAATTATTTGTAAGTTTTTGTCGCTCTTACTAGCGTCAATATAATTAGGCAATCCTTGATAGTGTACACTTTGCGTTTCAAAAAGAGTAATTTGTCTCACAATGCGTAAAAATTCATCTATTGATTCGTCCGTTAGTTCGTTGCCAGACAAGACATTCTGTCTCACAATGGAAATAGGTATAATAACTTCATTTAAATTTATTATTTGTCTTGCCTTATCTTCTTTGGTTATATCTCGCTTGTAGCTTGTACCAATATATGTACAATCATCATCCTGCTCCATATCTTGAGCAATCATAGCAGTGGTAATTGCTGTTTTCATCGGTGAAATGTCACATTTTAACGTTTCGTTATTTTCATTAATGACATTGAATGTTGTAATGTCCTTCTGCAGATACAGTAGAATATCTCGCGGCTCGATGCCTGTAAACTTAAATATATAATTAATATATTCTATCTTGTTCAAAATATCCAAAACAGTGGGATGACTTGGTCCAAAAATATCTTTTATTTGATCAAAACATTCTGTATAGGCTCTAAGTGCATCTTAAATTCAAAAAGAAGTACATTTGCAATACAGTGTTGAGTATTCAAGGTTTCACGGTGATTTTCTCCCAAAATTTTTTTCCTTTCATCTAAAACTTTTTGAATAGTCGTCAGTGCTTCATAATAATTTTTTTGTTTTTCGTGTATTACAGCAATGTTACGTAACGTCTCCAAAGTTCTCACATGATCAATACCTAAAACCACTTTCTTCCTCTCGTAAACATCTTTATAAATTGTCAATGCCTTTTCAAGCTCACCCTGGTTAGCCAGTACCATCGCTATGTCTTCTTGAATACACAAAACTCTGTTGGGTCATCTGCACTTAATATTGTTTTACTTTTTTCAAAAACTGTTCTATTGATATTTAACGCTTCTTCGTGTTTGCCTTGTTCCTCTAATACCATTGCCATGTGAAAGTAAGTTTTTAAAGTATCTAAATGATTTGGCCCTAGTATTTCCTCTTGCTTCTGGCAAACTTCTTGATAAATATTAAAAGCTTCTTCATTCCTTCCCTGTCTATGCAGCACTAAAGCAATTGTACTTTTTGTACTTAAAGTACTCTTATCATTCAAACCCAACATTTCTTTTTGTTTCTGGAAAATTTCTTCAAATGTATTTAAAGCATCTTGGTAAGCTCCTTGTGCGTATGATATTTTACCTATATATATCTGAATATCTAAAGTGCCAGGATTATCTGATCCTAGTATTTCTTTTCTTTTTTTAAATACGCTTTTGAAAATACATAATGCTCTTTGATAATCGCCTTGATTCATAAGCACTAAACCTACATTAAGCTGAGCGGATACATCACTTTGTGATACCTCTTTCAACTGTTCGACTTTTGAAAAGTTATTATGCACTACAGCAACTACTAGCGTTCTGTTTTCTTTATTACAAGCATTCATTATTGCTTTTACTGTATCGATATCCTTTATCTTGTTAAGATCATTAACAACTTGAAAATTATTATTTTTAATATTTTTAAATGAGTCACTCAATAATTTAAATAAGCTAGTTATATTTTTATTTGTAGTAAAATCTAATGGTGTTTTACCACCATCAGAAACTGCATTATATACTGCACCATTAGATAATAGGAGCTTTACAATTTCCAAGTGAGAGAACTTAGCAGCATAATGCAGAGGTGTATATCCCTTCTTACCAACTGCATTAGAATCAGCTTTATTTTGTAATAGAATATTGACAATACTGTTATAGCCTTTCCACGCAGCATAATGTAATGATGTTCCATTAACATTTTTGGCGTTAACGACCGCCCCTGCTTTAATGTAATTCTCAACATCTGAAGAGCCATTACGTTTTACAGCCTCGAACAATTTCTCAGTTGATTCTAATAAGTTGATAACGTTTTCGTCATTAGACATTTTTAGTGGTTTTTTACAAGTATGGTCAACAGCGTTATAAACTGCTCCATTTTTTAATAAAATTTGAATAAAGTCTTTATAACCGAGTTTAGCAGCAATATGCATCGGAGTGAAGCGATTAACATCTTTAGCATTAACATCAACGCCTTGTGCTATCAAATACTTTGCAACTTCTAATTGACCTTTCGATGCTGCATAGTGTAGTAATGTCCAATTATCTGCATCAAGTTTATTATTAATGAACTTAATACTTAACCCTTTACTAATGAAAAACTCTAAAGTATCTTTACAACCTTCTCTTGCTGCAATGTGTATAGGTTTTAAACCAAAGGCTATTTTAACATTAACATCAGATCCTTTATCATCTACTAGATATTCTACCATCTCTAAGTTATTTCTTTGTGAAGCAATATGCAATATCGTCCAATCATTGTTACCTTTAGCATTTATATCTATTTCTTCGTAGTTCTGCAGTAGTAACATTTTAACCACTTCTTAAATGACCATGTGCCACTGCTAATTCTAGAGGTGTTCTATTCTCATTATCCTTAACATTAATATTTGCTTTTTGAAGTGAAACTTCTTTAGGCACGGTAGTGAATCCGATTCGCGATACGAAAAAGTGTAACGAAAGTGAAACTTCTTTGGTACGGTAGTAAGTTCGATTGTGCGACACAAATAGTGTAACGAAAATTTGACCAATAGGCGTACGGCGTTGGCGAGATGGTTCTTCTTCTGGCACGGTAGTAAGTTCGATTATGCGACACGGAAAGTGTAACGAAAATTCGACCAATAGGCGTACGAAATGAAACTTCTTCGGTACGGTAGTAAGTTCGATTGTGCGACACGGAAAGTGTAACGAAAATTCGACCAATAGGCGTACGAAATGAAACTTCTTTGGTACGGTAGTAAGTTTGATTGTGCGACACGGAAAATGTGACAAAAATTCGACCAATAGGCGTACGGCGTTAGCGAGACGGTTCTTCTTCTGGCACGGTAGTAAGTTCGATTATGCGACACGGAAAGTGTAACGAAAATTCGACCAATAGGCGTACGAAATGAAACTTCTTTGGTACGGTAGTAAGTTCGATTGTGCGACACGGAAAATGTAACGAAAATTCGACCAATTGGCGTACGGCGTTGACGAGACGGTTCTTCTTCTGGCACGGTAGTAAGTTCGATTATGCGACACGAAAATTGTAACGAAAATTTTCGACCAATTGGCGTACGAAATGAAACTTCTTTAATTGGTACGGTAGTAAGTTCGATTGTGCGACACAAAAAAACGTCACGAAATAGTGTCACGAAAATTCGACCAACAGGCGTACAAAGTGAAACTCCTTTTGGATCGGTAAGTAAATTCGATTTTGCGACTCGAAAACGCGTCACGAAAATTCGATCAGGCGTACGGCACTGGCAAGACGGATATAGTGAGAACAGCGTATAACACTATATTTTCGAGTTGCGGGCGGCTTGGAGTGACTAATTCCGTTGCATTGTTTTTGTATTAATTTCAGAAAAGTTATGGCAAAGCCTTGCCTTCAGAAGTTTCACTTCTAACGCGCGTGGCGACCACACGCATAATTTTTTTTATGTAGTAAAACTTTTACAACATTACAATGACCACTTGTTGCTGCCAAGTGTAACGGTGTAATTTTTTTGTCAGATTTATTATGAACATTAACGTTAGCGCCATGTGCTATTAAAATCTTAACTACTTCCTCATACCCCTTCTGTGCTGCAAAACATAATGGTGTTAGATTATTAATATTTGTAGTATCAACATCAGCTCCTTTTGTTAACAGAACTTTTACTACATTCTTATGACCTTTAGTAGCAGCCAAGTGTAGTGGTGCAACATTTTTAGAATTTTTCATATTAACATCGACTTTGTGGTCTAGCAAAATTTCTACAATATCTGTGTATCCAGAAAGAACTGCTAGTGACAAAAGTTCAATGGCTTCTTCATTAACTTTAACTCCATTTGATATAAGAACTTTAACGATTTCTTTGTGATTATATTTTATAGCAGAAAGCAATGGTGTCATGTTGTTGCTTTTAACAGTAACATCGGCTCCCCTTGTTACCAAAATCTCAACGATTTCTTTATGACCTGCTTTCACGGCTTGATGTAACGGTGTACTACCGTCATGAGTTTTAGCATCAATCTCAGCTTTACTGTCTATTAGAAGATTAACAATGTCTATGTGGCCGTTAAGAGCAGCTAGATGCAACGGTGTAAAACCGTCATCAGTTTTTACATCAACTTCAGCTTTATTGTTTATTAGAAGATTAACAATGGCTTTGTGGCTTTTCAGAGCAGCTAGATGCAATGGTGTGGTACCTTTATCAGTTTTTGCATCAACTTTAGCTTTTTCTCTTTTTATTAGAAGCTCAACAATGCCTGAGTGGCCTTCCAGAGCAGCTGCATGTAGTGGTGTTACATTATTATTAGTTTTGGCATTAATTTCTGCTCCTCTTTCTATTAAAAATTCAGAAATTTCCTTATGACCACTTTTTGCTGCACAATATAATGGTGTAATGTTATTTCAATCTTTAGCACAAATGTCAACACTATGTTTAAGTAGAGCAACAACTATTCCTAGATGACCATTCTGGGCAGCAAAATGCAATGGAGTCACACCTGTAACAGTGGCAATACTAGCGATGGCATTATTTTCCAGTAGAGTCTTAACTATTTCCTCGTGCCCATCTTTTGCTGCATAGTGCAAAGATGTACTATTATCGGGTTTGTCAACAGCATTAACATTAGCTCCATTCTTCAATAAAATATTAACTATCTTTGCATGACCCTTATCTACTGCACAGTGTAATGATGTAAAACCACTTATTCCACTAGCGTCAACATGAGCTCCTTTTTCGATTAAAACACGTACTACTTTCAAATAGCCATTTAATGCGGCTAAATGTAACGGTGTCAAATCTTCAGTTATAACGTTAACATTTGCCTCATTTGCAAGCAAGACTTCAACTAACTCTAGATAACCTCTCTGTGCAGTTGCGTGCAACGGGGTTAAGATTATTTATGCAACACGTGCATGGAAAGTGCCCCATTGCGCACGCTACGCGTGCGTGATAGACCACTTTCCAGGCACTTGCCACATAAAATAGGGAGTGTAAGTCGTGTGTAAAGATGAAAATGGAATTTTCATCTTACGACACTTGTTACACAAATAACTATTTCAGTTTTTTCCAATAAAATCTCAGTAACACCTATATGATTATTTATTATTGCATAGTGTAAAGGTGAAAGACCAATTTTATCTCGAGCAATAGTATGTGCTTCCTTATTATTTAATAAAACTACGACAGTTTTCTCGTGCCCGTTTTGAGCAGCAACATGTAATGGCGTTTTGCCACTGTTATCTAAATCATCAATATATAAACCTTTCTTTATAAAAAATTCTACAATATTATTCCTTCCATGCTCAGCAGCAATATGCAATGGACTTTGACCATTAATATCTTTCACATTATCGCTTAAATTTTGATCAAGAATAAATTCTATAACTTCAGGAGTGGATCCCTTAGCAGCAAAATGTAACGTGGTCCATGAATTATTACTTCTAGCATTAATATCTGCACCTTTTTTGAGACAATCCTTTAAGTTTTCTGGATTTCCTTCTTCCAAAGCAGCAAACATTCTTTCCTGATTAGTAATGGTATCTAAGTCTTGAGAGTATTTCTCTCTCAAATTGAAAGAATTATCGCTTACTAACTCACCAACGTTTTCTTTGCTTTTTATATCTTCCTCGTCAATTTGTTTTTTGCTTTTATTATTTTCTTCAATAAGTTTTTTAGCGTTCAAAACAACTGCTATTAAAGGATCAAATAACAACCCAGGTAGCAAGCACTCGTCATTTTGACGTCAATTGACGTCAAGAGACGTCAAAATGACAGACTTTTGACGTCAATTGACGTCAAAATGACGAGTGCTTGCTACCTGGGAATACATTAACTAAGGCATTATCATGAGCTAAGTGATTACGCAAACATTTTCCAATTAATAAAGGAGTGTTAGCATCTAAAAAGAGTAGATTATTTTGCTTTATTAAGTTATGCTTTAAGCTATCTAAAATTGACATTATATCCAGAAGAAGCATTTCTACTACTGCTTGCAAATTCTTATTACTTTTATAGAAAGGTAATTTTTCAATAAATTGATCATTCAATGCGTTTTTGCTTAAAATATTTTCCAGTTCGGTGTTATGCCGCGTCGCCGGTTGGTGACGGCTTACAGCAAAACGTTTATTATTTTTGGGATCTCTTGACCTTACGAGTTGGGACTCGGTAGGCACAGGCGGGCAGACTAGGAAGCTGTCGGGTTCGCAGGTGGAACGGGGGGTGTAGGCGTCGTTAAATGAACTTCACTTCGTTTTACTTTATATTGGAGCTTTATTTCAGCGCCCCTTTTACACTCACTAACTTACTCTTGTATTTGCCTTTCACAATTATTATAACTCGCACGCGCTTTGTTATAATGTAAACCTTCGCGACACGACTTACGGGAACGGTCACGGGCAGAGTCTCCGGTGTATTACTCTCCGTCGCGGCTTCTTCGACGGTCCCTTATATTGCTTTGAGTTATGCCCTGTCGGCACTTTTCCGCCGGGTTCGACGGTCCCCCGAATGAGGTCGGTCAGTGACCGAGCGCATTCGCAATCTCGCTGTACTCCGCGGTTCCGCGATTGTCGAAATGCGTTGTCGCACATTCCTATGCATCTCGCAATATTGTGTCGAAATGCGTTGTCGCACATTCTTATGCATATCGCAATAGTTCGATTGACGCGGAAGCTTGATGAACTTCCGCGTCCGCGTCAGCGTAAATTGAGGAGTCTTTCGAAAGACAATTTCCTCGAAGTCTTTCGAAAGGCTATTCTATAATTTTATTATAAATAATTTAATAATTACCCGTTGTAATTTTAGATTACAACATCGGATATTTTTGGTGCAAGTTGGTTATATTCTTCTTTTGTTATATTGTAAGTCTTTTCTGGTATAGAAGTAAACGAAACTTTTTTATTTAACTTTTTCCAGAATTTCTTAATCCATTTTATGTCACTTATTTCAAATTCAAAAATATAAAAAAAAATTTCGTAAATTAATTTATCAAGATTGTTATGTTGAATTCTTGGCTCAATACTACGATAAATTTTTGTGAACAACGTAGCAATTTTTTTAAGGCTATTAAGCTTTGTTTTTATAGTCGTATTTTCTAATATTCTGTTAGCAAAAAATTTAATTCCACTAATAACGTTGTTTTCAATCTTAAATTTTTCACTCAAATTGATTAAGCCTTTCATTATTTTATATCCTGTGATATAATCAGTTTTGATATTTTTTGATTGAGGTTCTGCACAATGGATTATGTCATTAATTTCATTAAATAATTTCTTTTCATAATCCGTCTTGTCAGTTATATTTTTGTTTAATTCTTTAATGAGTTTTCCAAGTTTCTCGTATTCCATTATTTTAAAATTTTTAGGTATTATTTCATCCAATTCAGCATTATTAAATATTTCAGCAAATTTTTTTATCTCACTGCTTAAGCTTTTACTATCAACAATTTTTTCTAGAAGCATTCTAAGCGTTTGAGTTTTTCTACTATAAAGAATATCAGTAATTACAATATCGATTTTTTTAATATCATTTTGAACACCAGCAAAAAAACTAACATCTGTATTTTTCTCAATTTCTATTCTCTTGGAGAGTGAGCATGTGATAGTGAATCACGTAAATCTCTCATTATTTTTCTTGTATCTTCTGGTAACGATAATAGCAAAAGCTCACTTGTAGTATTAGATAACTTAGGGGATTCTAAAGTGTTTTTTAAATGCTCACCGATAATTTGTAAAACCTTTGTAATAATTAACTGTCCTTCCTTCTCTTTAGAATCAGCCGATAACGCCAACTTTATATAATCACTTATTTTCATTAAAGAATAAATATCCCTAATTTGTTGATAATCGTTATACAATTCTTTAAATTGAGGATCTCTACTAATAATCCTTGCAACAACATCCTCGCGTGTTAAGTTTGGAAGTTTATTAATGTCCACACATTTTTCTTCATTTTCAAGTTTTTTTGCAAAGTTTTCTAATTTAATATTTTGCTTTTATTCAATGTAGCATTATAAAATAGATTCATTTCTTGTCGTTTTGTGTGAGAGAAAACAAAACTGATTAAACAAAATTCCATTTCTTCCCAAGGTAATCTATCATAGGTTGATTTCAACTGCCGCTTTAATATATGAATATTTTTTGCGATAAATTTTGCTGCAAATAAGAACTTTTTATCTACTTTTTCCGTGTCTGAATAATCTTTCTTTAGCATATTAATGTTTTTAAGTGTTAATTCAATTCGTTCTTTGATATTATTAAGACAATTCTTATCATTATCAAGACAACGCTTTACATTCTGATCTTGTCGAGAAGTATTAGAGAAGAAACGGAGGTTTACTAACTTATTTTGAACAAAAATTTCCATTTTATCTGACACTGGTACATCTCTTAACTTTAATTCTTTATAAGCTCTTGAAAGGATTATATCCAATTCTCCTAAATGAACAGAAAAATAATTACCTGGCCATTTATTAATAAGTGTATCAAGAAGATCAA